GTCGTAGGAAGAGCGTTGAAAGTGCAAACGTAACCGTTCAAGCGTCCGGTCTCCAACTTTGACACACGAACAACGCCGGAGTCTACCACAATCTTTATGCTAGTAAAGATTATAGTAGTATAAAATATAAAGATTAAAATTGGGATAATAATAATCTTGTATATTTCTATAGAAAATATTTCTAATAATACTTAGAAAATATTATAGATATTTTCTATACACAAAATGATATTATTGGAACCCCAAATAATCACTTTCTCTCTCTAGAAAATGAAGTGGCCGAAAAATTACACTTGCATAAATCAAGATGATGGTCTTCACATCTATATAAAATATTTTGTTCAAAGTGCCGTGTAATCAATTAAGTAGAAAACAAAACATTACAAAGTTATTAATCAAACTTTGTCATTTAGCTAAAGGATAAAAATAATAAAACTATGTCTAAGATTGATTTTTGATCCTTTAAATCACTATGGCCGAATGTTTGATTGTGAGAAGGATTTTCAAAATTCTTTTCCACTCAAATGTTCAAAGTGTATTTTATTTGACACCAAAAATTAATATAAATTTAATTTTAAATCAAATAAAAATACCCATATCATTTTTTAAACAAGTATACAAATATACTTTAAATAGTTTATGTCAAAATAATTATTTTCATAATTAAAATGACAAACCAAAATAAAATATTCAACATAATATATATATATATATATATATATATATATATATATATATATATATATATATATATATATATATATATCAGAGACTGAAATCGTCTCTTCGCGGCGGAGTTAGATCAAGACGGAGGCGAAGTGCTCAGTACCCGGAAGAAAAGCCGCCGGAGTAGACAGCGCAGGGCCACCGCGTCCAAGCTCGGAGCAGAAAAATGGCGGAAAAGGCAGTGACCATCCGGACCCGTAAATTCATGACGAATCGCCTTCTCTCAAGGAAACAATTCGTCATCGATGTTCTCCACCCTGGAAGGGCCAATGTTTCCAAGGCGGAGCTGAAAGAAAAGCTGGCAAGGATGTATGAAGTGAAAGATTCCAATGCCATATTTGTTTTTAAGTTCAGGACTCACTTTGGAGGAGGGAAATCAACTGGGTTTGGTTTGATCTATGACTCTGTTGAGAATGCCAAGAAACCCAAGTATAGGCTCATCAGAAATGGGTTGGCCACTAAAGTTGAGAAGTCCCGAAAGCAAATGAAGGAGCGAAAGAACAGAGCCAAGAAAGTCCGTGGAGTGAAGAAGACCAAGGCCGGAGATGCTGCGAAAAAGAAGTAATGATTATGTGGCAAAGGATTTAAGCTGAATCTGGAAAAGAAATAAAATGCCCAGACTTTCTCTCATTATGTTTTCTTCCTTTCCAATGGATTTCCCCCAATCTATCTTCCATTTTTGCTGAATCAAGTGTAACAGGGTTATGCTTCAACTTTTCTTTCACAATAGCCATCTGTTATCTTTTACTTTCTCTGCTTATTGAGCTATTATGTTTTTGGATGATCCATTTGGGATGTTTGTAGTTTGTACTGTGAAAGCAGTATACTCTTAATATTTGGCCTGCTGTGGTATTTTGAAAATATATATATATATATATATATATATATATATATATATATATATATATATATATATATAGTTTCTAAGTCCTGGCTATTGAGGAGGTTTCTAAGTCCCAGGCCTCCTTCCTCGAATGGAAAACAAAGTTTTTCCCATTTTCTCCAGTGATATTTTGGACCTTCTTCGTTTATTCCCCAGAAGTAGTTTGCCATAAGTCTATTCAAACTTTTGAGAATTGATTTAGGAATTCTTTGTGCAGCTATAAGATGTAAAGGAATTGAGGATAGCACGTGTTTGATGAGAATGAGCCTCCCCATCTGATTGAGCTTCTTGCTGTACCAAGCATTTACTCCCTCCGTCCCCCATAGATCTTCTCAATAGCCCTTTTTCTTTGTCCACAATAGATCTTCTCATTTCATTTTTTAACAATTAAAATACCACAACTACCCCCACTTACTTTATTTATTACACCTCACCACCTCATTTAATACACTCCACCCATATTTCATTAAGGGTATTATGGTAAACTTTCACCTTTTTTCAACTCTCCTTAAAAACCACCAAAAGTCAAAATGAGAACATCTTACGGGGACGGAGGGAGTATTTTTTTCTCAAATTTTTCAACCAATGCCTTGCAGTGAACTTTCCTCAGTTTACCCTTGACAATATTAGAACCAAGGTAGGTAAATTCCTTTGTGTGACACCTGATGGACATGATTTTTCTGATCTGGTTTTGCTGCTCAGCCTTCATTCTTTCATGGACTATAACTTGGCTTTTGGAGTAATTTATTTCCTGTCCTGATGCCTTCATGAAAAGGGAGAGAAGTTCCCTAAGTCTCAATAGATTCCTACTGTCTGCTTTGGTGAAAAGGATGATGTCATCAGCATAAAGAAGATGGCATGGTGTGGGGTTTCTTCCAACTGAGAATGGTGAAATATATCCACGGGAGAATTGATGATTTAAGAACCTTGACAGACCTTCCAAGGCAATGATGAAGAGAAGAGGGGAGAGGGGGTCTCCCTGCTTAACTCCACATTTCATGGGGAAAAAACCCTGTGGCTGGCCATTTACCAATACAGAGAAGTGAGTTGCCCTAAGGTTACCCATTAAAAGATGTACAACAGGTGGGCCGAAACCAAATTTGGTTAGCACAGCATCCAAATAATTCCAGGAGAGTTTGTCAAAAGCCTTTGATAAATCCAGCTTAATGATGCAGTTTCCCCCCCTCCCTTTAGCTGAGAGAATGTGGACCATTTCTTTTACCATGAGAACATGTTCAGTAATGTTTTTACCAACCTGGAATGCTGCTTGTTCCTGGGAGATTAGTTTAGGAATGACTATTTTGAGCCTCTCACTTAACAGCCTGGAAATGATTTTGCTAAAGAAGGTTGACAAGGAGATGGGACGAAATTGATCCAAGGTAATGGAGCCTTCTTGCTTAGGGATCAGGGTAATAAGAGTGCTACCAAAAGCTTTTGGCATTGGGATGCCCACAAAGAATTCCTGAACTGCCCTACAAACATCAATTTTGATAATTTCCCAAGAATCCCTAAAGAAAAAACCATTAAAACCATCTGGACCAGCAGTGCTATTGGCATTTAAGGACCAAATTGTTCTCCTGATTTCCTCCTCATCTGGGATTGACCTGAGCAAACTGTTGTCCTGGGGAGAT